CTAATAATTGAAACGGACTGAGGACAGTACGCTCCTATTTGGTATCATATGTCTAACTTGAGTATCTATGCTAATAGGAAAATTATATTTATTTATCTGTAGCTACATCCAGAATTATGTATTTATATCAAACTTCTTTATATATTCTTTTTTATCTTTCGTATTGTTTAAATAAATATTCTTGTAGATATTTACAGTATCCTTGTAGATATTATTTAATTATTTCTACATCTTTGAGAGTATTCCAAAAACAATTTACGGTGTTAAATTTCGTTATTAGGATACCCTTCCCGTAAACGGACAACTCTCAAAAACGGACAAATTTTTTGGTCCCAAGAATGACCGCTTAACGGAGGCTTCACTGTATATATATTGAAATAAACTACATATTCCTCCAGTTTTGCATTTTTCAAATTGTCATCGCATCAAAAACTGTGACATCTATGGCAATAACGATTGATGATAAAACCTGAATTTATGATGAAATCTCAAGAATCGGAATCATCAAAAAGGAGTTAGTTATTTGTATGTTTTGAGATTCACATGTTTTAATAAATAATATTGCATTAAAAATAGCAAGATTTTAAAAATTATGCAAAAATTTGTAGAGATAATTGCCGAACAATTTATTAGAATAATTGCATTAAATAGTGAATACTCAGGTGCACAATTTGACTTATGATAATATTGGGATTTTCAGAAATCATGTGGAAATCAACAGCAATAACCTTTAAAAAAAAAAGCTATTGAAACGTCGCAAGGATTTACTGCAAATCAAGTGTGTCATAAAGTCATTTTTCAAAGGCATAATTCAAATTTTGCGTATCATAATAATGTAGGAATTTCAAAAAGTATGACGAAATCAATTGCATTAACTGCAAAAAAGAGAGGATGAAATGGGGATTTACGATGGTATCAAGTGTGTTGAAACATAAAAATTAAAAAGCATGATTTAAAATTTTCATACCGTAATATCACATTAAAAATTAATTCTATCTAATTATAGCCAAATAAAAAAGTAGGCAAATTTATCACGTTGGTTGAATGATTCTTCAGTTACAAATCTAAATTTGCAACTCCTTAAAATCCAAATTTAAAAGAAAACTTTTTCCTAGAAAATGGGCTTAAACATTTTTGACATTTCGGAATAACTTTTTGGATTATCTATTTTATACTTTTGTGTTTGCCTCAGTAGTTTCTTAGTTTTAGCCAAATTTATTTTTCTTTTCTAGTCTCATGTTCTCAAAGTTTATCTGAAGTTGCGTACTTCTCTAACAAATCTGCTTGAAAAAAGTTGTTATCCCACATGAATGAGAAAAACAGACAGTGCTGATAAAGGTGGAATAAATGTCTCGTTAGTGAGATTTTGTATAAGTAATGAAATTTATATTTTAGATTAGCAGATCTCCAAGAAAATTTTGTCAGAATATTAATAATCAATTCGTGGAACTCCTTGAATCAATGGTATTTAGATTTGCAGAAGAATCACATGCCTGGTTTTGATAATGGTTGAACTCAATAGAATGTTTTGATCCTTAAATTTGAGAGAATGTTCATAACATTTTAATACAAAATTTATTTTACTGATCACTCAGAAAATTTTAAGAAATTTCCATTAACTGAAAAAGCTTTTTACCACACCATTTTTTTTTACACAACACAGATTTCATTGTAAATAAAAATTCTTTTGAACAATAATACTTAAATAATAACGTAATAAAAAATTCTTAAATTATCATACCCCCTTCAAAATGTCTTTCAGAGCAACAAGTTTGCCACCCTCAGATCCAGTGAATTTGAGTTCTTGTTTTATAGTTTCCACTGCAGTGTTCCTACAAGTATACAGGAATAATTATACATTTATATAGTTTTAAATTAATACAGCATAAATAAAATAATTTTAATAAATTATTTTAAATAAAAGAAACAAAAATAATAAGTAATTGAGTATGATTTCCTACTACATGCAGGATAATAAGTTTCACAGTAATTTAAGACAAGATTAATTTACTTATTAAGTGAAGTCTTACTTAAATTTCTTTTCTAAAGAACACATTAGAGCTTATTCAAAAAGGAAAAAGGCAGCAAAAATTTTAACTTTTAATTTTTGGATTTAATTTGAAAATATATACACTGGTTATCATAAATTAAGGAAAATTCACAAAAATCGCGATAACTCAAGNTGCACGGTTTGGCTTACTTTTGAAAGAGTTATCGCTATTTTTGTGATTTTTCCTTAATTTATGATAACCAGTGTATAAATAAAATATTTTTATTTTATTATACTTTTTGAAAAACGAAGGAGAAAAAAACCAAAGAAGAATTTTAAAAAACTTACTTGGATCCAACTGCAACACAAACAAGGCTATCCAGGTTCAATTTGCACCACTCTTCAACCTCATGGCTAAAAGTAGCACTGTACATAGCTCTCTTTAATTCTGCAGAGTCACATGCATTATAAATGGTTGCTAGTTGATCTCGAAATCCCTTTTCACCAGTCTCAAACAATTTGTCACATTCGTCCACAACTAACCACTGAACCCTTTGAAATATAATCTCCATTAAAAATTCAGAAATTGTAAAACAAAAAGTAAATTATGGATATGATAATTTTAAGAGTAGACTAAGTAACTCCTTAAAATCTGAATATGTAGTAAAAAGGAGTTCTCGATAGGAATAAAAAAGGGCAAGGTGATTCCTAACAGAAAAGGGCACTTTGAGTTTTGAAAGGGCACTCACTTATCATCATGAAAATTTAATAACTGAATTTGATGATCAGCAATTTTTGAGTTACCGTTTTATCTGTATATTTCAAAAAATATTTTTCACTCATTATCTAAAGAGAAAAATTTGTAGTTTATAAATAATAATTAAAGGCGTGCTTAAAGGCTATCTTTGTAGATGCATTTTTTTTTCCTTCAAAAAACAAGAAACAAAAATTTTTTTTTGATAAACAGCTTAAAAGATATTTTCTATAATTTACACCGAAAATTATTTTAAAAAATTATCCAAAAATATTTTTATTTAGAAAAATAGTTTTAAAATTTAAAATCACTAAAAAAATTTATTAATATTCCCCCTTCACTAAAATAAGAGACCATTGAGAATAATCCTAAACCATTTGAGAATAATCCTAAAAAAGTAAATATTTGTGATAGGAATCAGAATTAAACCTATAAACACGAATAATTTCACGAGTGTGTAATTATTATTTAGAAACACTGAATAAATTTTTTTCAAAACGGAATCTGAATAAAAAGCTTAAGGGATTTTTTCTATAATTCATACTGAAAATTATTAGAAAATAAACATTTATAAGTGCATTAAAAAAATTATTTATTTAAAAAATAATTTTAAAATTTAAAATCAATTAAAAATTTATTAATATAACCCTTTGAAAAAAGAAAAGCTTATAAAAATTTAACTAGTTAAGAATAATCCTAACAAAGTAAATAATAGCAATAGTAATCAGAATTAAACCTATAAACACAGATAATTTCTTTGTGCAATTATTATTTTAACAGTTAATTAATTTTTCTTACAAATAAAATATGAATAAAAAGGCAGTGTTTCAAGGGATGGCAAACTTATTTTCATAAAAGGGCAAAGAGGGTGCAGTTACAAAGATTAAAGGACAGGCAGGACGGGCCGTCTTTCTAAAAATGCTTAGGGAGAACACAGAGTAAAATGCATGCTGTATATACAGTAAAAAGAATACAAATAAAATTTAAAAATAACATCTTAATGTATTTCAATTAATTCATCTCCAAAAAATGGTCTTTACCTTGAATTATTCAAAGATCCTTTAGAAACTAACCTTGTTTTATAATTGAATGAAAGACTAAATGACAGATAAATTTAAGCTAACTAATTTATTTACAGCATAATCAAGATTCATAAAAATATTTATCACAAAATATTTTTTTAAAAATAGTAGTTATCTGGAATTAAAAAATAACAAATTGAACCTACTTGTTTAAGCTGATAACAGGAGGATCATTTTGAAGTAAATATATCAGTCTGTTAGGTGTAGAAATTAGAATATCTGTAAGAAAAACCAAAAATCTTTACTTAAACATTGAAATAATAACAATACTTAACTTTCTAAATGAAAATTATTCATAACTCAGAGTATTTGCTTCCTGTTAACTTCACACTCATAGATAATCAAAGATATATTACATAATTATAAATCCTCAAAAAATTTATTTTGGGATCTTTAATTAATAAAAATTATCTAAGGAAAAAAGAAGGAACACTTGCATGCTTTTATTTACTGCTTAGTCTTCTTAAAGGAAACTGTATTTAATGCAAAAAAGGTCATAATAATAAATAAATAAATGAAATTAATCTGAATTTTTTTAATTTGCTGGGAACTCATTGGAAAATTTTCACCAAAAAATTTTAACAGTAACAAGTAATAAGAATTTCTTAATCTAAGGGAATCTGAGAAGAAATATATTGTCACATACCATGCTTTTTCAAATACTTTGGACGTTCTTTAACAGAATTGACATCTTCAATAATTAAGGATCTCAGACCTGTGCCCTCAGATAATTTTATACAAAAGGAATGTATCTGTTTAGCTAGTTCTCTAGTAGGTGCTAATACAACAGCTCTGATTCCTCCCTTTACAGGACCCTGAAAGGGAAAAATATTATAATTTAAAAAAACTACCATTAAAAATAAACTATAAAAGCATAAATTAGTGATATAAAATATTGCATCTTTAAATTATTCTCCTTTAAAATTAATTGAAATAAATACATTTTAAGATTTGACTTCTATGTGAAAAACTGAATATTTCTCTATCTCTTAGAATGTTAGTAAACCATTCACATATAAAGGATCAAGCAATTGAAGAGAACAATTAAAAGATTTCTTTGTAAAAGTCTTAACTATTATTGAAAATTAGAGCTCTTTGCAAGAAACATTATAATATATATATATATACAGTGAAACCTCCGTTAAGCGGACATTTATGGGATCAAAAAATTTGTCCGTTTACGGGAAGGGTACCCTAATAACGAAATTTAACACCGTAAATTGTTTTTAGAATATTCTCAAAGATGTAGAAATAATTAAATAATATCTATAACGATACTGTAAATATCTACAAGAATATTTATTTAAACAATAAGAAAGATAAAAAAGAATATATAACGAAGTTTGATATAAATACATAATTCTGGATGTTGCTACAGATAAATAAATATAATTTTCTTATTAGCATAGATACTCAAGTTAGACATATGATACCAAATAGGAGCGTACTTTCCTCAGTCCGTTTCAATTATTAGGTTCACATCCCCTTACACCTACTTATCATTTGATAGGGAACATGGTTAATACCTTCTTGGAAAATAAACCTCCCATGATTCACAGAAAAAAAAGTAATGCATACCTGTAAGTCATGAGGACCTATGGAGATGATTATTCACAATTGATCAGCTATCAAGTGTCTGAATAAATGTTTCATTTATATAAACACCTCAAAGATTATACTTCTGTTCTCTTTTTTTTACCCCAGTTGTGTTAAATACAGTCTTCAAATTGATAAGAAAATTAAAGAAATTTTCAATGGGGAAGAAGCATTGAGAGAAGTCATTTCAACTTGAGGGGTCTCATAACCTGTGTGGTCCAGATGAAAAGATCAAAAGATGCCGATGTCAGAATTATTTCAGGAGTGCAGTACCATTTTCTCTCCTTTCTTTACAAAGATAAGGCAAGGTGACAGGAGAAAGATTGATTTTTCGGTGGTGAAATAGCTTAACAATATTTTTAGTTATGGATAAGGCAAAAAGTTTTATTTACATGCTTTAAAAATGGTGAAAAGTTGCATTTTTTTAGCTTGCAATTTATTTAGAAAAAGTAGTGTCCGGTTTGTAGAGATAAAAAACAACGTTTCAGGACCAAAATGACTGTCCGCGTCCGGTTACGGGAGTGTCCGCTTTGTGGAGAATGTTCGTAATGGTTTATTCATAGAAGATTCCCGGGGAATTAAAAATATGTCCGTATTGAGAGGCGTCCGTTTTGCAGGAGTGTCCATAACAGGAGGTTTCACTGTATATATATATATATATAAGTTTTAATAAAAAGTACCTATTAGTTATGCTATAACTAAAACAATTTGATATTTTAATTAAACGTTTACAATTATTGGGTATGTAATTATTACAAACCAATCCCTGTATAAATTAAATGAGCTTGAACATAGTTTTGTTCAAGCTCATCTCATAATTTTGTAAAAACAAAGACCCACTTAGTCGGATATCAAATGAAGAATAAATCAATCTAGATCAGGAAACATTAAAAAAAAAATCAATTATTTTAAAATGCTCTTCATTGTTTATTTATAGAAACTAAAAATTTAGTAAGATCCAAAAGTACTTGCATATATATAAACATAAAATAAAATTGCATAATTGAAGTATGTTTACTAAACAGCATATTGTTTTAAATACTGCTAATTAAAAATCATCTTTTCAAACTATCACTCTACTTTCATCCATATTTAGTCTCTTTTTTTTCTTTTTTTCTTCCTAATCTGAACATCAAATAGTAATTTATATACATTTCCCTCCCATTATTTCTGGGGATAAAACTTTTATTATCAATCAAATCAAACTTTAAAAAAAATAATAATAATCACATTTATGACTTAATAATATCACGTTCAAAATCACAGCATGACTTAAATCTACAATCATTATTAAAAAAAACAGGAGACTTTTTTTTTCTTTTTAAGGATTTAACTTTCTTAAAAATCAACAAATTCCTTTTTTTAAAAATAAATATAAAAAAATAAAAAGAGAGAGTCGATTTATTAAAGATTTTTATAAATTGAAAAAGGATATGATTTGAGCTTCTGGCTATATTATTGCAGTTCTTATTTTGGAAAGGCTGTGATGCAGGTATCTATTTTATCCCATCTCCGAACATTTTACTTTCATAATAATTTATTATTAGAAGAAAATAACAAAACAAGAGGGTATAACTCATTGTGAACATTTTTTATTATTATTAGATTTACCTTATTATTCTTTTTATTAAAAAGAATCAGATTCGCAAAATAAATATTGTCCCAGAGTCTAACTGAATTTGGGTGTAAGACTTTCTTTCAAAACACACAATTAGTTACCTTCAGATTATGAATCAATGGAATGAGGAATGCTGCAGTTTTGCCAGATCCAGTTGGAGCACAAGCAAGTAGTTGACGATTCTAAAATATAAGCATACCATTGAAAATACAACAGAAATAAGAATTGACATTTAAGAAATGATATCAATGCCTTTAAAAAAAAAAATTCAGCAGCAACTTACATGTATCATTAAAGGTACAGCCTGCATTTGAATTGGAGTAGGTTTTGAATAATTCAGCTTCATAATATTTTCCAATAGTAGAGGAGAAACATCATAATCAGAGATTAGTTGATCAAATGCTTCCATGGGATCTGGAACATCATCACCCACAACATATATTTTATTAACTCGACGGAAATGAGTAACCTGAAGATAGAGAAGAAATTTGAAGAAAAATATATGACATTCTTAAAAATATTTATTTTAGCTGATGCTTTTCAATTCCTGTAAGTGTAAGAAATTTTTCCAAGGTCAGAACTTGGAAAAATTCCTTACACTTACAAGAAATAGAAACGAAGTGCAACTTATATTGGTCAACTTCTCAAGAAGGAAGGATCATTGTTTCTCTTATGATACCCAATATCATATTATTCTTATGAGTACCATGTTATTCACATATTTCCTTTATATTATGAATCAAAGTAAAGATAAATGTAATTACATTTTTCTTAATATGCATATTTCTCATACATCTTTAAAATTACAAAATGAACTACAATACCACCTTATTTACATTAGATATTTCTATTATATTATTAATCAAAGCAAAGATAAATGTAATGAAATTTTTCTTAATATGCATATTTTTCATGTATCTTTAAAATGAGATTACAAAATAAACTACAACTTGTTAAATTTGATATGAAATAATTAGTTTTTCTTAAAAAAAAAAGATCTGTATATTTTGTTAGTTATGCATGATAATTATTTTTAATAAATAATTATTTAAAATATCAAAACACAAGAACAAATATGCTAGAAAAATTATATTTCATCCATTTCAATCCTTCAAAATTTATTTTGTTATGCTTGTAAACTTATTTGTTATGAAAGCTTTTCACTGTTTTGCACATGGTCAACTCAATATGCTTAGTAATGTAATTGTCCTGCTGAAACTCACAGGTTTTTGAATGCTATGTCCTTTTACCCTTCATTTGTACCACAAAAAATAACACAAAATTTTTTTTGTTGAGGTTTTAAGCTCTGCTGTTATGACGTATTATTATTAACTAAGCATTGGAGAGTTTTAATGATTTTCCCCAAATTTTTTAAACAAATTTTTTTTGATAATATTCCAAATATTCCTGTACTAGTAGAATCACCAATGAATTTATGATTTTCTATGTTGGTTTTATTGCGCAAATAAAGCCAAAATAGAAAAAATAAAAAAAGCATAACAAATTACCTCTTCTTTCCTAATTTTTATCAACTGCATTGCAGACAATCTTTTCTTTTCTTTTTTCTTAACAGGTTTTTCAGTTTTTTCTTTATCAGTTCCTTCTTCTTCATCTGATGAACTATCACTGGAATCTAGAAAATATCATTACTTATATTGTTGTCTAAATGATAAAACTTATTAATAATAGAAAAAACTAATTGGCTCAAACAATACACTTTTCGAGTTTATATTATTGGTAATTTGAACTTAGATTTGTTCTAAATAAATTTAATAAACAGAACAAAAAAATTAAAATCTCCTATTCAATCCCTTAACTAAATAAACAGACCAAACATAGTTAAATGAATAAAATCTAATGACTTAGTGCCTAGTCCCTGATTTAGTCAAATCTAAGGATTTGAGGACCCTTAAAGCATCTCAAGAATACTTTGTAGACTTAGAAGTGATCACCTTAAGCAAAAGCAAATAAGATTTGAAAATGGAAGAAAAAATTTTCCACCATGTAAAACAGTAACATTTTAGGATCTCCAGAACACATTCTGGTCTGCCTTAACAATACTGAGGGGTATTTATTCCTAAACACATCAATGGTTGCCTCAAATGATATGAAACTTTTGCAATTTCAAGGACCTGGATTAGAACTAAGAGTTGGGACTATGGTAGCAAGTACCACTACTAAACTATTAATGTTTTAGTTAGAACTATCATAATATTTTTTGTTTAAGCAGGACATTCTACACTTGAAATTAAGAAAACAATATAAAACATTTTTGTTTGTCAACTTACTTAAAACATCCATTAATTTTATTTTTGAAGTACTAAAAAAATTAGTACATTAGTTTTAAACTGAAGAATCATACAATAATGAATCTCAGATTACTTTTGAAATTGTTTATTTATTTAAAACATTTAAATGATAAGATTTGATTATTTTGTGTCAGAGAGAGGTATAACATTTTTACAGCATATCTAAGAATTGAGAAAAAGGTTTTAACAAGATAAAATGAAAATTAACCTGATGAACTAATTTCTTTTTCTTGCCTTCTTTTTTCTTCAATGCCACCATTTTGGCTTGCATTCAATTCCTCAAACTTCTTCTTCTTATTCCGCTTAGCATTCTATAAGTAATACAAAAATTATAATTCGATAAAATGAATCTTGAATGTTTCAAGTAAAATCAACAGCTATTTTTAAATAAATGATTTAAATCAAACTTTACTAAAGAGATAAATTATACACAAATTTAAAAAAAAATTTAATAAAATTTCCACATATTTTTCATGTTTCTTGTCATTTTAATGAAAATAATCAAATAAAAAATATAGAACAAAATATGAATACAAATTTTGCAATTTTTAAGGCAAGACAATTAGTAAAACACTTCTTCTTGCAATGTCATCCAAATAATTTATGGTATTTAAAGTAATTTTATATTTAAAAATAAATAAAATAAGAAATACTTGAATGATAATGAAGGTATGTAAGATGATTTTTGATTGCAAAACTGCTTAACAAATTAAATTTGTTTAAATTATCAGGGATCTGCCTAGGTTTTTCTGAGAGGTACCTATTTTGTGAAAATTTAGACATAATTTGGGAAAAATTAAAAATTATATAGAAAAATCAACACAAAAATATGGATTTATCGTTTCTTAAGGGATACAAAAATAAAATTTTAAGAAAAAGTATTTTGTGAAACTATCATTTTTCGTGAAGTTGAATTAGTGAAACTACCGTTTTTCCTAAAGTTGAATTTGTGAAGGTACCGCTTAACGGTAGTAAATTAGGCCTGGGCAGACCCCTGATTATGTTTAAAATTTATACCTGCTTGCACCAAAATAAAGGGTTTTTAAGCTTTAAAAAAAAAAAAGAAATTTTAAATATACATAGCGGTTTGTCAGGAAGTCAATACAAGTTAAATCCTTTGAGTAAATTTTCATTTGTGAAGCTGTGAAGCTTTTTAATTTTAGTTTTCAATACGTCATTGGTTGGTTGTCACTAAAATCTATAAACCTTTTTACTGTAGGTACAGATACCAAAATATTCCCAAGTGAAAAGAAAAGAATCACAAAACTCCTGAAAATTAATCTTTCTAAATTAATAATTTCCTAAAATTAACCTTATAAAATTGTTTAACAAATTATTACAATATAATAACTAACTTTCACAATATTAACTGATCTAGGAAATCTTTTAAATCACGGTCTCAGAAAGCATGCACAATGACCAATTAGCAAGAGAGTCAGTGTTAATTTTATGGCAAAAATATGCAACTGTGAGAGCATCTCTTATTTTGGTGATGTTTAATGCTCATACAGAAAAAACAGTGAAAATGACTAAAAAGAGAGATTCTATTAATATTAAGAATCGAAATAATAGGAAAATTGAAAATATTAAAAGCAGCATAAGCTCCAAGGAGCACCCAATTCCACGCTATAAATCTAAAAGGAATTAAAATATCAATTGAAAAAACGCTTTGGGTAAAATATTTTTCAAAATACACTGAAAATAAGAATCAACAATAAACTAGTAGCGTTAGAGTTTTTAGATTGTGAATTTATGGAGTTTAAATATAAAAAGATTTTTTTACTAGTTTCGGGTGATCGTAACCAAAATTCTCTACTAACAGACGAAGCATTTTGAAAATAACATAAACATTATTTTATCCATTATACATAAGCATGGTAATTCATATGTTAAATTAAAAGTGTCAACAGATTATCATAAGCTAATTTTGGTTTATTGCAGATTTCATGGTACAAAAAGAGAATATATTTCAACACGTGTTTTAATGGAACTATTAAACGCAAAAGACTTTAATATTTCTTAAGTGTATTCGAACCTTTAATTTGTTCTCTCTTCGACGAGGTTTGCATGGATCGAAACTTGTTCCGAAAGCGACAATTTTAAATAATTCAAGACTTCTTTCCATATTAAGTTTAAAATTTCCCTAATATTCACTTCCAATCAGATTGAGCTTTGTTTGTTTACATTAGTATAAATGAATTGTTGCCATATCATACTAAATGCAGTTTAAAAAAATTTAAAAAAGAATTTTTAATGCAACAGACGGGCAGAATTAAATAAGCGGAACAGGTTTGTTAGAAATGTAAATAAACAAATTATAGTTTCATGTTCTTAAGTTCAGATTTATGGTTCATTTTTTAATTAAAGCGAATGAGTAATTTTATTTGAATTTTCAAAAAGTATCCTTTGTTTGAAATATTTATAATAATTCCCCCTAATCTTAATAAGTAAGTACTCTCGTTGAGTTTTCACTGACTTTTTGTCATACTTTCTTTTTCTATAGAAATGCTAGTTTGTGTATCTGCATTTTTTATTTTTTTTAAAGAAATGAGTTTCATAATTTTAGAGTTACGTCTAAAATAGATGTAGTGTATTTTCCCTGATAAGTTTATTGCATTTTTCCGATACGTTGAAATGACCTGTTGTATTTTAAAATGCCTGATAACAATAACAACAACAAATATTTATTGAGTTTTCTTATTATTTGGCAGTCAATAAACTTTTAAAGAAAATTTTGAGACTTTCCCCTCATCCCTTTCTCTTTTCTCTACCTTTTAAAATACTGGGAATATTTTCATATTATATCGTGATCTACCGGACAATAATCGTCATGATGTAGGAATATCCCCCAAAATACTAATTTCTTTAAGTGTAGACTTTTACAAACATGACATTATTATAGGCTAACATCACATTGGTACGTATCCATTTTTCCTACTCAGGTAAATTCAGTTATTTTATTATTTAATTAATCAAATAAAAGAAGTTGAAAAAAAAAACAAATAAATGTATACTGTTTTTTATTGGCAACATTGTCACCTACACCAGAAAATGGAGAAATACTGTAGCATTTTTCAAGGAAATTTTTTAAATTATTTTATCATTTCAAACAGAAGATTTTTATATTGGTGCCTACCACAAGAGTTGCTAAATTTAGAGACAATTGTATCGGTATCTCTTTAAAAATTAGTTTAATAATTTTAGATTTGCATTTAAAATACGCTTAGAATATATGCCTTTGTTGCCTGCATCAGCAAAATGGATAAGTACCGTAGCATTTTGCAGGGAAAGTGTTTTATGTTATTTCATCATATCAAAGAAAATATTTTCATATTGGTACCTACTACAAAAAGTTGCTAAATTTTGAAGAAAACTGGGCTATGGCACATGAGAAACTAAACAATATCACAGAAGGGCACCAACTTGAAGGGTTTCCTGAGGAAAACCTTTTTGCATTTTTTTTTTCTTTTAATTTTTGCAAGTTAAAAAACCTTTTGGCTTGGGCAAAGTTAGTTGGTACAAATAGGTACTCATACAAAAACATCCCTGTATCAAAAATTATAAATTAATTTTATAACCAATAAAGATATCAAATATTTCACTGCAATTTAATACATTCCATTTTTCTAGATTTTTCCTTATGGATGTGTCAAAATGTTCTCAACTAGGACTGGGCGATATTAGAAATTATATATCGTGATATATCGTCAGTTTTGCATCGCGATATAGCGATGTATCGCGATATAGTATTTTTGAATTTCATTTACTTTAAGGCACAGAAAGTCAGATTTCTATCAAGACTTCATACGCATATTGATTTAAATCAATTTATAAATTTGAAAATATATATGTTTTGCTAAAGAAAGATATTAAATAAATTGACTAAGATGTACAAATCTTACTTAAAATATTTATTGAAAAAATGTGTGTAGATACAGAATGAAATATTTGCACTTCTTTATCGTTTATAAGGTATAAGCAGTCTTAATTTAA